AATAGAAGACAACAAAAAGCCGAAGAGACAAGGCACTCACCACCTCGGCGGGTTGAACAACCTGCTCAGCAGCCTGAGCTATCTCCTCAACGGCCACCTGAGGAGCCCCCATGGGCGGCGGACTCTCAGTAAGGTCCACCGCTCCAGCATCGACAGCTTTGGAGGTCACCTCCTCGGCATCCGGAGGGGCGGAGGTCGCCCCAACCTCCTTCGCTCCCCTTTTTCTTTTTCGGTTAACCCTCAGGGGGGAAGCATCCTCCTCTCGGGGCTCGGGGACCTCGAGCTCGGTGATGTTGTACCGATGCTTAAGCTCGCGCCACAAGTTCTTCCCCATGATACCTACAGACAAGAAATAAAACACATCAGCAAAAGTAAGCTACACAAACTCCAAGCCACCAAAAAATGAAACACTCACTCTCCAAGCCCCTCTCCCTGTACGCCGAGTTCGCAAGCGACAAAACGAGCTTGCAATCCAACGGACGAGGAAGCGCGACGAGGTTCTCGATGGCAGCCGCCTCCGAAGCCGTCAGCTTCACTTGGCCCAACCCATGAAACCTAGAAGGTCGAGGGCACCAATAGAAGGGAAATCTCGACAACCCCCCAAAATAAAACGCCCCATCTTCCAAGGGGTCAACATTCACAAGAGCGACTCGGAAAAACTCTTGCTTGAAATTTTTGTACGACTGGGAGTAGAGAGTAAACAAACCCCCATCCCTACTCCCACTCAGAGATAATATGCCGTATGGCAGAACGCCTACCTTCAACTGATAAACATGAAGGAAGACGGGAAGAGACACCTCTATCCCCAAAATTGTACACAGGACTTGAAAAGCCCTCAAAAAACCCCAACTATTGGGGTGCAACTAGCAAAGATCCGAGTTGACGAAGTTCAAAAAATCACACTCAAACTGAGTGAAGGGAAGACAGACACCCAAATCTCTAAAAAAATAATGATACATATAGAAATGGGGAGGGTCGGTAGACTTCCCCATGTACACACCCTCACCGGCCTGACAAGGTTCAAGCCAGATCATCTAGGAAATAGAAGGGTCACAAACCCTGCACGACCGTGGGATCCCGTTAACCTCAAGAAAGGACCAAAAACATCTCACTCTTGACCCAGTCGTAGCCAGGGATGCCTAGCTCCGGACCCCGGGGCGGAGGCGGATCCCTCTTCTCGGCGGCGGCTCTCCCGGTAGCCACCGCCTTACCCCGCGCCTTGCCCCCAGCAGGCGCACAAGCGCCGGCACCACTCCCACCCGCCATTAAAGAAAGAGAAGATCTGGGGAAAAGAAAAAAGAGAACTGTAGAAAGGAAGTACCTGGTACTCCTCCTCAGAAAACAACCCTAGTAATGACAGGGTTACCGGAAATGGAGACGGAAAGCGAGCAGAAACGAGAAGGCACAGAGGACTATCGTACCCAGGAAGCCAAAGAGTGGAAGAAAGTAGAATGAATGGGAAGAGACGCGGGAGAGAAAAAGAAAAAGGGTCTTTCCCCAAATTTCAAAACGGCCATGCCACGTGTCAACCTAAGGACACACCTGACAACACATTAATTTCCAAACCATCATTACATAACCGTCATTTCCCTTAACGCGCCACTCGCACGTTTTCGGAAAATGAACAGCCGCGACACATGGCATCTCAACAGGCAGGCATACGCGAAAGGTCACCTCCTCCCAGCGAGCTCGGTCTCAACTCCTCGACCTACGGTCTTCAGAGCTCAAGGGACTAGTGTACTATCTGTACTGCGAAGCCGAGCTCTGAGCTCGGCACCACAACGCAAGCCGACCTCGGACGCGCACCGCGTGGCCTCAGCTCGGCATTTGAGTGAATCATAACTGATTCCCGAGGATCTCACCCCAGACGAGGTCCGTTATCTAATCATATTACATCTTATCTCAGGCCCAAGGCAACCCTAAATCACACCAAGGTACGTGCATTATATATACGAGACTAATACTCACACAAACACTAACTTTAGCATCGAAGTCTCTTTTGCAGGTATCACCCCCATCTTGGAGCATCAACGTACCCGTGAAGGAGACTCACCAATCTTACTTGGAGAATCATCCCTACGACAGATTTCCGGTAAGAACAGTTTATTTTGAAGAAACTGAAAATGAATATTTCTATATTTGTAACATATTTAATTCTTTTTTTCATAGTCTTGGAAACTTATTTTCCAACTTGAAACATGCTTTTAAGGTGGTTAAAACTTTTATTTAATTAAAGTTTCACGTTCTTCCTCGTCTCGAGAGATGGTAATATAATTTCTTGATTTAGGTTGTTTGTAAAGTGGAGTATAATAAGAATGATGATATATTTAGTTTAAATTTGATTCCATTTTATTATGTTTGATTAACAAGACTTTTTCTGGGTATGGCTAAACCGCATAGTGAGAGATGTAAGTTTGAGGTAATATAAAGTCCATTTGATGAATAGGGGTAAAAAAGAAAGAGAGAGAAAAAAAAATATATATTTATAACATATTTAATTCTTTTATCAAAGTTTTGGAAATTTATTTTCCAACTTGAAACATGCTTAAGTAGATAAATCTTTAATTTAATTAAATTTTCACGTTTTGCTTGTCTCAAGAGACAGTAATATGATTTCTTGATTTAGCTTGTTTGTAAAGTGGAGTATAAGAACAATTATATATTTAGTTTAAATTTGATTCCATTTAATTATGTTTGATTAATTAGACTTTTTCTGGGTATGGTTAAATCACATAGTGAGAGATGTAAGTCTGAGGTAATATAAAGTCAATTTGATGAATAAGTGAACCCTTAACTTTATTGAGTAGATTGGATAAATCAATTGTGCAAAGAATAGCCAAGTAACAAGATAAAGATGCTTTTAAAGGCAATAATTACATTATTTTGTTTTTGATTTAATTAGTGTTTATAGCATATGTATACTTAGTCTTGCCTTTTTCCCATGATATTTCAATTGTTTGGTGGTTTATTGGTAGATATCGAGTAGCGTAAGTAAAGCTATGCCAAGGAAAGAAAACAAAATTTTATCAACTTTCTAATTTTTTATCTTTTAAAATATAGAAATTCTATCAAATACTCTATTTACAAAATTCAAATGGAGTTTCATTTGATGAAATTGATTACTATTTCTTCTATAATTTAAAACTTGTTATTGAATAATGCAATGTTGAGCTGATTTTATTAATAATATTGATCTTCAAATTTTGATGAGATGACTATTTTTTTTTCTTAATGAATACAGTTGGTAGCTGAGGTGGCGGGCTAGTAATATTTGTGGATTGTGAAGATTCCAATTTGTTCTATTGGTTGCATTCTTGTATCTATTCAATCTCATTGTCACTTTGGTTGTCATTCAATCATCTTAATCAAACTCTATAAATTCTCTCATTAACATTTGTAATTGGCCAAACTAAGTTTGTGGTTTGTTTATGTTAATGTCCTGTTAGCTGGTTTTCTTTCACTGAACTATCTTTCTAAAACTTCAATATATTGGATTAGGATTGTGATGTTGGCGTGGAATCATCCAACTTTATGCATATTAGAAATTGAAATTTGTATTGAATCATTTGATAATGGTTTGTTAGCAGTGTATTCTTGTAATAAAATACTGGTATGTAAACCTAATTCTTTTGCTCCAAGTTGAATATTTATAATTTATCATAGATATGTTCTTTTGATTAATTATAGCACTAACTTGGAAGTGATAGATTGAAGCTATCATATTTGCTACTTTTGGGTTTATGATTTCGTTGAAGCTTTAAGTCTTGAGCTCACTTGAACTACATGGTCGAATATTTTAAATGAGAATTAAATATGTTGTTAGTTATTAACTTTTGCCAATTTTTAATTTTAGTCTTTGAATAAATTTTTAATAATTTTTATTTTAAACTTTTATCAATTTTTATTTTTAGTCTTTAAACTTTTTTACTCCCATTAACATTTTGATCCTTGGAGTCAAAAACTTTTGTTCATAAACTTTTGTATTTCATGGTAAAAAAATGATTAAAGTTGAGGAACACATTTAATTTATTAATTTTAATTTTAATTTAATATTTTTATATAAAATAAGTAAACATTATTTAGCTAAAAAATGAGTAAATTTAATATTTATTGTAGAAATTATTAACAAAATGACATGGTAAAAAATGATTACAATTGAAAAAAATATATATTTAATTTATTATTTAATTTAGATTAAAAAATAACTAAAAGTAATAATTTATAGTATATTTTTTTATAATTTTTTTTTTTGAAAAAAAAACTCAAAAGAAATCAAATTTCCAAATAAAATATTAAAAATAACATTAATTTAGTTATTTGAATTTTTTTAATTATAAAACTCATAAAAATTATATAAATTTCAAAATTTAGAATTAGGCTTATTTTAAAATTGAATATTTAATAAAATATGATTTAAATTAATGAAACGAAATATCAAATAATTTTCAAATTTTTAAAAAAAATTATATTTGATTTATGCATTAAGAATTTTAAATTTAACAATTGAATCGTTAGCATTTAATGTAAAACATAAGTTATTAAGAACTTTAAATTTAGTAGTTGGATCATTAAAATTTGATATAAAACGTGAGTTATTAAACTAGAATTATTCTTGAAGTAAACTAGAGAGATTCTATTCAAATATTCCTAAGACTCACCCCTGCATTATATAGAAGCTGGATAACGCGGATAGGTGCTGAATTCACATCTTTTGATTTGTAAGCACTGTCCATTGGGAGATTTTGCTCCAGAAGCTTAAGATGTAGAATTATTTTAGAATTGAGATGTCAATTACACTTGTTTAGAAAAAATAAAAACTACAAAACTTTTCACAATGAATGCATGATGCATAGTACCTGCAGATTATCACCAAATAGTTTCTAAGTAAATGCTTACTTAGACAACTAATTGGGATTTTGCAGCGTGAAACTCATTCTTTATGTTGGTAAAACCTCATTAGGCACTACAATATACTCATCATCTTATCAAAACTAAGAGAGTACTGTGATCTAGATATTTATACCTGAATATTTTCCAACTTTTTGAGAGCAACTTTCAGTGGTTCTGTCATTACACAGTATTTCTGGAGAAGTAAACCAGCAGCCTCTTTATCACCTTTGGCTTGAATGGTGAGTATTTCCCTACTCAGGCTTTCAACTGCTCCTTCAATCTTAAGGAAGAAAATTTTATTTATTATCACCCATCTAAGTGTCAAACAAACTTAAGATGGAGGGACTGAGATAGAAACAAATATTTCGAAGCAATAATACCTTGGTAAAATCAACAGAAATTGTGCCTTCAGAATGCCAGACAAAGGCACCTTTCTCATATAACCAGTTGAACTGCAATGCTTGTCCTTTTCTGACAATATGCGGTAGATTTAAATGCTAAATCACATCACAATAATAAAAACCAAAAAAAAAACAAGAATGCATAGTTAACAGCGCACCCATGAGCTTCCTTTAAACCAAAGCGTACAGACCGGAAGCATCCAGCAAGAAACGAAACATACATGGACTTCAATAAACATTCAGAAAGCAAATCCTGGTAGAAAACAATAAATTGTGTAGAAAATATCAGAAGCCAAACAATAAATTAGCATCAGTTGTAAACCTCAAAACAATAAATTGTGTAGAAAATATCAGAAGCCAAACACAAAACACCACTGAAACTACTTGTTGACTGGGTGTCAAAAGAGGATTAAATCTTTATCTGATTCCCTAAAATATTTCAGTTAATATGTTTGATTTGTTTCCTTGTATAGCTAGTAATTACTTTATTTTCTATAATTACTTTTTACCTTTTCTAGTTTAGCTTATTTTAGGTAATTAATTCATTAGTCATATTTTCTTTCCTTATTATAGGATTTAGTTTCCTTATTTCATTTGATGTAATTCCCCTTAATAAAAGGGAGGAAACCCTACACAGAAAATTATCAATAATATTTCATATTTTAAACTTGGTATCAGAGCACAATCTTTGCACCTCGGATGTGCAGCCAGGGCTGACAGTTCCTCAGCCATCAGCAG